TGTGTGTGTGTGTGTGTGTGTGTGTGTGTCAGAGGCAGCAGAGGCCCCACATGGTGCGAATTTGGAGCAGAGCTTCCTTTGCCCCCTAGTTTTCTGGGGCAGAACATTCTTCTGAAGGGACTTTGAAAGAAAGGCCGTCCTGGTAAAGCTCTCAGGCTGTGGTCTCTCTGTGTCTCACGCACACGTCCTGCAGGCCAGGGGGATGCAGCCTGTTTGCAGGAAGTAGGCCGTGAGGGAGGCCGGAGGCACCGAGAAGCCGAGCGAGTGATGAGTGACCCCCCGGGGAGGAAGACAGACCTCGGAACTTGAGAGCTGGAGGGATCTGAAGACGCTGAGCCCACAGAAGAGGAAGGGACTTGGCCAAGGTGGCTCCAAGGTCACCCGAGTGATGGAGTCCCGGCTCGGACTTGGCTCTTCCTGGTTCCAGACCCCTGGCCTGCGTCTGCCGGGAACTTCCTCCTCCTGAGGAGCCGGGCCTGCAGGAAGGGTGTACGTTCGCCCACCACGGTGTCGCCGGCGTGGCCCCAAGCCTCCACGGTCCCCCTGACCTCCCACGGCCAAACAAACCCCGGCGCCCTGTCTCGCACGTCCCGAGGGCCTGCAGGGCCTCGCCTTCTCCTGGCCACCTCTTGGTTCCAGCCGGCTCCCCTGCCCACAGCAGCGGCCCGAAGGCAGCCCTCAGTGGCCGCCACGCACCCCTGTCGGGGTGGCCCCAGTACCTCGGCGGCCACAACCCCTCATCGCGGGGGCTTCAAGCGGCGAGCACTGCTCCCTCACGCACCCAGGGTCCAGCGTGGGCCCTGCTCCCGCGCTCTCACCAGAGTCGGGGCCACGGCCCACGGGCCCCGGGCTCACGCGTGCGAAGGGGAACACCTCACACTTCCAGGGACAGAGGCGCATCACAGGACCACGCCCGCCGTCGGGTGGCAGAGGACCGAGAAGCCCAGTCCTGCGCCGTCGAGCAGGAGACCCAGAGTCTAACGACTGCCCGACTGCTTCCCCCTTCGGTCCCCAAACCCTGATGCAGCTGGTGTGCAAAATACGGAACAGACTGTGCAAAAGGTTGGACACAGCGGCGGGGCGGGGGGGGGCTTCCACGGCCATCGAAAACCGCTCCCAAACAGGTAGAAGACACGGCTGCCCTCACAACCTCTGCCCTTCCGGTCACGGGGGTCTCTCACCCACCTCTCCCCTGCAGCTACCAAGCCCGTCGCCCGCCCCATGGCGCGTGTGCACTCCCCCCTCCAGCCCCGCAGCCGTGTTTCCCTGCAGATCAGGCCCAGACAGAGCTGTGCGCCGTGCTGTGTACCTCTGCTGGGTCTCTGGGCTCCCCGGAGCACCTGTCAGGCCACAGAGCTCTGAGGACCTTCTACGACAGAGGGGCATCTCTGGGATGCTCAGCTTGGCTCCGTTTCCTTGCTTCGGTAGCTGTCTTCCCTCCATTTATGGTTGGAAGTGAATTTGGAGCGCTAACGTAGGGCCTACAGGGCAGGGTAGGAGTTTGGAGGCTGTCGCCATATTTTACTAGCCTGGAGCACTCAGTTATAGGCCCGGAGCACTCAGGATCCTGGAGTCTGACTCTGGAAGAAACCGCTGAGATCTTTGGTTCAGGGGTTCGTTCGGAACCAGTCTTGCAAACAGACTTTGAGGTGGACCCCCACCACGTGAGACGGGTCGGCGAGGACACCGCTCTGGGGGAGAAGGACAGTGCCGTGTGACCCCTCCCCGCACAGGGCCCACCTCCCTGCCTGCAGGCTCGCTCCTCGCCTCCCCTGCTGCCCCGTGCCCTTGTTCACACCGCCCCCTCTGCTGGACGGGCTCCGTCCCATCGCCTTCCTGTCGGACTTCGATTTGTCCTTCAAAACCTCTTTTGGATGGCCCCTTGCTATTTCCCTGGTGAGACCCCCCCCCCCCGACTGCAGGAGCTGCACGCCTCCATTCTCACCTTGTCTTGTCGGACAGTGAGTGACCTCTGGGGGCGTCTGACCCCCTTGTTAGGCTGGGAGCCCCCAGGGGGATCTGACTCATCCACTTCCAGCTGTGTCTCACCAGAGCCCAGCACAGAGACGTCCCCAGGACGTGCTGATGGGCTTGGCCCGGGAGGACCAAGATGGACGCCTGTGTGGCTTAGAAGAGGCCAGAGGGAGTCGAGAGGGGAAGAGAGCTGGGCTGTGCGGCAGCTGTTTGAAAAGCAAGAAATACAGAAATCGTTAGCAAAACCTTGGCTGTTTAGCAAAAAGCAACACCGTGGGCCAATTCCGCCGTCAGTTGCCGCGCTAAGTGCCTTCTGCACCAAAGACCCCGTCTTGGGGGCGCGGTGGGGCGGGCGCCGATGCTCAGGGCCCCAGAGTGTGTGGCAAGCGAGGGATTGCCCCCGATGGGCCGAGCAAGCCAGGCTGCAGGGTCGCAAGTGGGCAGGGCGAGCGAGACGCCCTGGGAGCGTGAGCCCGGCCGGGCCAGAGCGGGGTGCGAGCCAGCAGGTTGGGGTAGGAGCCAAGGTGCCAGCTCTCTGTGGCCATCGCTGACGAGGGTCAGCCGAGCAGGCCCTGGGTGCCCACCAAGCCATCCCCAGAGGGACCTGCCCGGTGGGGAGAAAGGCTGCCTCTGTGGGCCCACTGGGGCCGCCAGCTCCTGGCAGGGAGAAGCCACCGCCCAAGACCTCTGTGGGGTCCCTGGGCTCGTGGCTCCCCAGAGTCCGCCCCCCAGGGCTTTCCAGTGCCGCCTGTGCAGCGACACAGCGCCTGACCTAATTGCGTCCATTTTTCACCCTGGCCCCTGCCGAGGAGCCGTCCTGGAAAGCGTCTCTCCCAGAAGAGCACCATCAGTTTTAAGAACAGGCTACTTACACGCGTGCGTGCAGACACGCAGACGCACGTCACCACTGTACAGAGAAAAGGGTACCGTGTGCAGACGGCCGCTGAGAAGCGATAATGTCGGGCCAGAGGTGGGGGTGTTGACCGGGCATCCCCACGTTTCTGAGCTAAGAGCCTGTGTGCGCGTGCGTGTGTCCTCAGCCCTCTGGCGTATGGATCAAAGAGTCCGCCTCTGCCAACGTGCAGATGTTTGCAGAGAGCTGAAAACAAGCCGGGAGGGCTGGGGGGAGGGGGAACGAGAGGAAGAAGGGTCCGCGCCGGCCGGAATGCTCCTCGGATATTTTCAGCCACTCCGCAAGCAGAGGCTGGGGTAATTTTAGCAACCGGGGCGTGGAGAGGGGGTGACTGCTCCGTTTTGCTCCAAAAGTGCTCAGTTGTGAGAGCCCATTCATCCCGCGGCACGGCTTGCGGCCTCGACGGGACAGAGCCACACGCCCTGCAGAGGGCGCTGTGGCCCGGAGCGTTTGTAGGTTCCCCTGCGCGGCTGCCCTGCGTTCCTGTGCCTGCGGTTTGTTTGGTGGCTGCCGGTCCGATTCCCTCGTGTGGACGTAGCCCGCAGGCGTGTGCTGAGCGCCGGGAGCGCTCTGATGAGAGTGGCAGGCAGACACGGGGGATGCCAGCTCTTGAATGGGGGTCCACAGCCCCCGTGAAAGGCGCCCCGGAGTGGCGGGAAGGAGGCTGGAGGGGCTGGGTCCCCGAGGCACCCCCTGTCCCGGGCCCCGCCCCTCGGTTCTGTTCTTGCAGCTCTGCTGACATCGGCCGGCCGGATGGAGGTGCTGACGCACGATCCCCAAATCGGCCGGATGGAGGCTTTTAGGGCAGCTCAGACGTTCCTTCCGCGGGGCTGTCCTGTGTTTCCAGGCCGGCAGTTTCCACAGAGGCTTCCGGTTGGAGAAGTGCTTCAGGGCTGCCCAGGGGAGGGGACAGCCAGCGGCTTTGCCTCCGCCACCTGCTTTTCTCTGACGGCAGCAGGGTTTTGTCGGAAAAACTAAGGGGACCACCCAAGCGTCCGCTTACGCGTGAGTGCATTGCCAAGTGCGGTGTGCAGACAGCACGGAACCCTATCCAGCCTTAAAGAGGAAGGAGAAGGAGAAGGAAGGGGTCTGCTGACCCCTGCTGCAGCGCGGACGAACCCTGACGACGTCGCAGCAGGCGGACTAAGCCAGACACAAAAGTTCTGTAGGGTTCCACTTCCACTCGTGACAGGAGGTCCCTAGAGGAGTCAAGTTCACGGAAGACAGGACCTAGACGGTGGGGCCAGAGGAGAGGGAAACATGGTTTAATAGGGTCAGAATTTCAGTGTGGGAAGGTGGAAAGTCCTGCAGATGGGCGGTGGGGACGGCGGCACACTGTGCTTCGTGCCAGTGACCTCTGCACCTGAAACTGGTTTAAATAGTTGTTCTATGCTGTTTTGCCACAACAAAAATGCAGAAATGAAGGGGCTGGTGGGGAGGAGAATCACAGGTTGAGGCCAAAGCTGCCACATTGCCCTGGGGTACCCGCCGTCCGGAGAGCGCGGGGGCCTCTCACCAGGAGCTGGGGCCTGGGTGTGCGGGTGGGCAGCCGCACCCAGAGCCGGGGACAGGAGCCCTTGGTGGGGCGGGGCCCCCACTCACCACCGCGCCCTCGTCTCTACAGATCGCGACTCTGCTCAGGGACAACGAGCGCGTCCAGTCCACCCAGACTGTCACCCCCAACGACGAGGACAGTGACATCAAGAAGATTAAGAAGGTGTGTGCTGTCCTCTTCTGAGAGCTTCCCAGCCCTGCCCGGGGTGGGCACTGTCACCGACTGTCTTTCCACCCCCGGGGCCGGCCACCCCCTGCTCGGCCCCGGCCTTGGACTGGATGCACTCTATTTATAGGTGGGGAGGGCAGGTTCCAGAGCGGAGGGAGTGGGTGGGGGGCCGGGACGGGAACCCAGGCCTAGAGGCTGTCGGCCAGGAGCTTCTCCCACAACGCGGGACAGCCTCCTAAGGCCACAGTCCCCTCCCCATGCAGAGCCTTCTCCTCATGGCTTTGGTCCCCGGCGCACCCCAGATTGGAAGTCCACGGGGCCCCAAAGCTGACCCTGCTGCTGTGATCTGTGGGAGCCCAGATGGCATGGGGACCCGCCCAGTGGCTCTGGGTACTGACCCAGCAGCCTGGGGCAGCCATGGGAGCAGGTGCAGGGGGCAGGGTGCCAACCAACAGCCTGGGGCAGCAGTGGGGGCAGGTGCAGGGGGAAGTGTGTGTGTTTGGGGTCTTCAACCCACACGGCGTGGGGGTCTTTTTTCTTTTTAGTTTGTTGCCAGTGCTTTAGAAGCTAAACGATCTGGATTTTGTTTCTCAAAAATAGAAGTGGCCAACATTCATTAAGCATTTTCTATGCGTCAGACCCTTCACGCAGAGCCCTCTAGGGTTTTGCCATCATCCGCATTTCACATGGGGGGCAGCTGAGGCGCAGAGAGGCAAAGCCACTTGCCCAAGTTACACAGCTGCTTGCGGGTGACGTTGAAACCCCAGCCTCCAAGCTCCAGAGCCACCTCCTCTGTCCCCGGGACACACTGCTGCCCACACAAGCCCCATTAGTCCCCACCAGCTGGCCTCCTGCGTCGTCGGCAGGACCTGCCAGGCCCCCTCAGGCACTGGGCTTTGCCACCAGGTCTGAGCCGAGCCCCACCAGGCAGGGCTCCCCTTTGCTGGGGCTCCCCTGGGTTTCTCTGCCCGTTTGGAGAAGCATTCTGGATGGAACATCTCTCTGTGCCTGCTGAAATCCCCCTCCCTCCCTCTATCTATCTCCACCCTCCTGGAGCCTCAGGCGGGCCCCTCCCTCGTGGAGAGAGCCTCCGAGTCTAGAAGGGGGCGGTCCAGACTCAGGGCCGGCTGCCTCTCCAGGGCAGACGCCCCCCAGCCACACATCCACATCCTGACTGTCTGCACACCTTTCCACTGAGGTTCTGATCACCTGTGCCCGGCCCCCAGCAGGCGGTCCCCAGGTCCCCAACCCTGCGGCAGGAGCCGGGTGGTGCCTGGCCTGGAGGCAGGTGCGTCGGAAAACAGTGGTCTCCGTGGCCATGAGTCAAGGTCCTCTCCCAAGCTCTTGCCAAAGCGGCTGCGCCCAGTGGCCCAACTACACGCCCGCCAAGTATCTGTGCCAGTCTCGCCACAGAGGCCAGAGGAGGGCTCCAGGCAGGCCCTGCTGAGGCCCCAAGCACCAGATTAACCAATTTGCCACATTCTGTTCAATTTGCCAATCGCCCTCTATCCCGATGAGCGTTAATTGAGGCTTCTAGGCTTCCAGGCCAGTTGTTGGACAAGGTGAGGAATGAGGGAGGCCCAGCACGGCCTGGCAGGCATCTACCCCCAGCCCCTCCCGTGACAGAGACTCAGGGCCACACGTCCCCCACCTCTGAGGCAAGCTGGGGGTCTGGGGAACATGCAGAGGTCGGGGCGGGGCCTGGCACCTACATTTCCAGCAAAGCTGGTGGGGCGACACGTGGAGTCCAGGCGCCCCCTCCTTAGCCCCTTCACGCGGATGGGAAAGCAGCTTACGGGACCCGGAGACTCACCCAGGGTCTCGCGGGCAGGCCAGGCCCTGGTCCCAGCTTACCTCCCTGCACACTCCACCGCGGAGGAGGCAGCGAGAGGAGGCACCGACCCTGCCTTGCCCCCCCCTGGAGCCCCCCTGCCCTGGGGCCCTCG